ACCACTATATTGCTCCTTACAAAAGCGTGCGATTGATGTCACTATAAAATAGTTAAAAAAGCTCTACTTATAGCCCCTAAAATTACATGAAAATTATGCTTTTCAAATGTTAAATATATAAATTGCGCCAATGTTTAAAGTCTTCTTGACTACTGTAAATGACCGAATAGAAATGACCAATAGAAATGACCATATAGCTCTGTGACCAACGAAATGATAGTAAACTTTTTTAATTGTTTTTACACCCTTTTATTGAATTTTAATTTCTGATGATTTTATATATAACACACGTGAAGTACCAATTTAGTTCCACACTAAGGACACTGTTTTTTGAAGACCTAACCGAAATAAAAAATTCCAGCGGAAAAACTTGAACGGTATAAACCAAGAGCGAAGTCGTAAGGGCTTGGAGAATACTGAACAGGAAAAACCGCTAGGGATTTTAGCCGAAGTTCCGCACGCCAGGGGACCCGTATAAACAATAAACTTTACTTGATTTTTCAATGAGCCAAGAAACCAAAAACAAAAAGCCAAGAGGAAAAAAAAAGCGAAATTTTCATATACCTTTCCAAGCCTAATAATTTGTTAGTATTTTCAAAGGTATTTTAGATATTGTAATCATTCGTCATTTTAAACGTACAAATAACGAACCGAAGCTGCCATATTTCAGTTTAACTACACGTAATTAAATCGATCACCGAACCGGACAATTTTCTACTTTGAACGAGAAAATTGTTTAACTGGAGGGAATTTCTTAAAACGTGTGATTTGCTCATCTAATCCACCTTAAAATGAGTTGCACCTAGCGCAGCCTAAACGTCCCTATTTTGCACCGTTTCATTCAGTGCTTTATAGAAAGAAAAATGTTTTTAGCAGCAAAATTTTTTTGTATTTCAAATAAATACAATTCAAATGAAAAGGCTATTTCGACAGAAACCACTTGAAGAAGCCCACGTTGGATTTGGTTACCAAAATCAAACAAACAAAATACCGCTGGCATTAATATGTTATGTTTTATTTTGACAATAATCACATAAATGACTTTCATAGAATCACGACTGGTGAACATAGAAACCTTTGTGTAACTATTGAGTAAATTACGCGATATCGTCTGCGTTTTATCTTCATAATAACCATTTAAAAAGAACAACAAAACAATGCACTTTCATTCAAACTATAAGTTTCTTAGCTTGTATGTTTTTATGAAGATATTCCGCATACTTAGACTTGTACTAATCGTTCATTTTTATGCTCCCTTGCGCTGTGGCTTGCAACATTGAAATTCCGCAGGAATGAAGTTATCTTTAAAAGAAAGCAACATAACCATTTTTACATTTAAACTGGAAATGTCTTAACAAACTTAATACTTTTCTAAAGCTTCAATTTGTCGACGTATAAACGACTGAAATTTAGATTGAAATTTCCTTCCAAAGTCATTTCTTTATTAGTGGAGTCCTCCTTTAAATCTTTAAAGGTACTAACCCTACACTCGTTATTTGAGAGTAGCATGTAACTACTCGCAGCAACTACAGCGCATGTATGACCTTTCTAAAGTTTCTACTTGCGCATGACACCGGAATTCCGCCTGAAAAGAAATGCCCCATGAAGGAGGTAACCCATCATGCCATTAACTTAACCTAACCTAGTGTATGTAGCAACCACGGGTGACCTCCAACCTTTGTGGGTTGAACTACTCATACATTATTGGGGATCCATGATGGAGTGCCTTAATAGTCGCTGTAGAAAGCTGTTCATGAAATTGGCCAACTACAACGACTGCATGCTTTTACCGTTTTAGGGGAGAGATAGTTTTCTTTCCACAATAACCCCAATCTTTGTTGGTTTTCAAAAGGTCTTGCTCGTTTGATCCAGTCCTCTAATGTCTTCTAACAGATGCAATTTGCATCCTCTACGCTAAGGTACCATCTGTACCCATTAACCCCAAGTAGAAGTTGCCTTCGTTTGGCCAAACTTCACTTACATTTCCGATTCTAAGCTATCATGATCCTGTCTATTTCTCTGTGGGGCAATTACCGCCACGACAATACGCGCTCCTTAAAGCAGTATATTCACACAGATGTTTTTAAAGGTAAACCTGATAGAACAGACGCAGTTGACCAATAACCACGTTTATACAAAGTTTACACTTACTAAAGTACAAAAATGAATCATGCATGTCAAACCAAAAAAACAAATTAGTTGTCCTAGTTGAAAGAAAATTTTTATAACCTCTTCAACAAGACTATTTTTAAAAATGCATGTGCAAAATTTTACAGAAAAGTGTATTTATAAATTTCTATGCATTAAAAAATAGCCTTACAGTGGAATATACTGCACACCAGGATTTGTAGTGGCTTTTTTGCCCAAAATGTATTAAAAATAATGCCTGTTAGCAGGCTATACTACGTAAATACAAATTTACACTCACAGTTTTCGGCGAATCCCTTGTCAATTTTAACGACAGAGGACGAAACCCTTTCGACGAAAACCAATTTATCGAAGAATGACGTATCTTTGCCAATTGCAACATTGATCAGATGCCCAGCATGTAAAATCACATAGATGCCCAAAATGTTTTTTTTTTAAAAAAAATAAAAACGTTGATTCGTTATCGAGCTAAGGGACACATTTGTTCTTGTGAAGTATTTGGTGTTTGCTTTCGAAGTTTGTCATGACAAAAACGTTCGCGAACTTTAAAATTTGTCAGTGAATATATTGTCAATTCTTAATTATTGTTCAGAGGGTTTATAAAAGGAATAGCACAATCACAGTTAATATATGCAGTGTACAATGTATACTTTTCGCAAAAATTCTGACAAAAATGTTAAGGAAGAAAAAAGGTACTTACTATGAACAGTTTATTCAGTGTTAAAGCATATCAAAGGAAGTAAAATTTCCACCAAAATTACAGAATCTTCAGCTGCATAGCACAAATTGTTCGTTATTGTATGTAGCTTAGCCTCACGGGAACTATTAGGAAAAGCTAAATCCATCTTCATTGTGAAGAAATTATCAAGTTATACGTGTCCACCATCGTTTTGAATATAAACCACCATGATTTGTTCAATGTATCTCGAAGACGTTTGGTGATCATTTGTTGTTGTAAAGAAATAAGTTCAAGTCTAAAATCAAGCTTAGAACAACAAGTATTAGTTACCAAAACGGAAACTTTGAGGAAAGACAAATTTGGACTTTATATTTTGCATGAATAAAGATCAAAATACCGTTAACATTTAACACTACGATCAAAGATAAAGTTCTCTGTTAAAAGAAACTTCAAAAGACATACCCGAACTTGATTTTAACGAGATATTCAAATTTTGCCGAATAACCATAGTGTACGAGCTGAGAAACTGAATGAAATAACAACTTGTCAAAGTGTACATGTGTTAATTTTGATCTATGGCAAAAGTTGAGTTGAAGTGTTTAGTTTTGATTGGTCAGTTTCTAGGTGCGTCAACAATTGTAATTAGTACCCAGTTGAATAAGGTCACTAAACTACATCTCTAACTATATTCTATTTTTCAGCCAGCGCTTTCATATTTAATAATTTCCCTCAAGTGCTAGGTTCCCACTCAGTGTCCCTTATACTAAGTAAATAGGTTCCTACAGATTTATAGGCTTTTTCGACCGTCCAATGGATTATAATGAATATTTAATAAAATACAATGTTCTGTCACTTTTTAAAGTGTATATGAGATTAGTAGGTTTGCAATCTATCTAGTCTGAAGTTGTAAAGCTCCTTAAAATGAGAGGAGTGTTTGTTAGGTCATTTTTATGAAAGTAAATCCATATCTTAGAGGAACCATGACAATTTTACATCCCTTTTTTTGAATGCTGAAATGACCAGAAGACTGCTTTGCCATATGAGGATGAAGTTTTTTCTGTATTCATTTTGGTAACTCATGAAATACATTTTTTGTTTATAAGTATTGTAGATGGGTGAATTGCTTGATAATTGTTAATCGATTCATTATTTCTTCCTGTTTATAGTTGCAATCACTCCCTTAATTTTTGTGACACTGTTCTTTTTTTACAACTGGGAAATATCCGGCTTAATGTAAAAACAGATTTCAATTCTATTTTCTATTTCGATGCCGGTATTGACTTAACGTGTTGATGGTGAATGTGGTGATCTCATTCTTAATTTAAATTTGACTTTTTTTAGATCACTTTGTAGTAAAATTATTTATGTGGCTGCAAGCTAGAATCTGTTGCGCAAAAAAACGTATTTCAACGTCATATAAGTGAAAGGCTCGTTTGACTGTCCATGTCTGGCTAGCCCAATAATTAATTATAAAAATACAAAGTATGAAATTCCTTTTTGTAGCGTTTAAGCTTTCTCCAGTATTAACTAATGTTGAATCATGTAAATTTTAAAAGTCGGCTGATTACAAAAGTTGCATTTTATTGTTGCAACATATATTTCAAAGGGGCACATGGAGACTTTACTTGTACCTCTAAGGATACAATTTGGGTTAGGGATCTTTGAGGATGGTTATGTACAGCAATCAACAGTAGATCATTTTCCATTGATCATGTTTTTTTATGTTTTTCCTATGTACTCCACTATTTGCTAACAGATGCATTCGATAAAAAATAGACTTCTCTCCTCGACTTAATATTTCTTCATCACGTCAACGAAAGCCAAAGACATTTAATCTACAACATTAGATATTAAATTTACAACTCTATTCTCTTATATCCATTAGGATACATTATAACCCATTCACTTGCGGTTTTTGTTGAATCTTAGTCTTATATTTCCCAATCCATTATAATCACTTCGCTCCCAGTTCCATTTCAACCTTCCCAGTCTCCGTAGACCCACACTATGATCCCACTTTAATCCTCTCGTCCCAGTCTCAGCAACCGTAGGACAACTTCACAAAAACACATTCGTTTCTTTCAACGTCAATCTTAAATTCCCACGACAAAATTTTGTAATCGACAAATTTGACGTGCATCAATATTGTTATCCCTTCTGACCAAATCTGAAAGTTCACAGATGTCATCAAACCTCAGCCATTGTGTACTTTCGAAGATAATCGTTTTAGTTGTCAGAGTATTAAACAGCAAAACAACCTTCATCGAAATTTCCTCAAAATCGTCTTCTTCTTTTTTCGTATTTGTCCCAGTCTCTCGCGTGTTTCGCCAAAGAATGTGACGTCACGATTTTCAAGCTGTCTTTGAATAAACTGTAGTCCCGCCAAATTGAATCCAACAGTATCCTAAAGATAAAGCACTCATTACATGTGTGCCATAGTTTTATCGTCGTCGATGTAAAAATTCAAGAAACTTTGTTCAGTTCATTTGATTTGTAGAGCCATTTGTTCAGTTCAAACGATTTGAAAACTCATTTGTTCAGTTCAAATGATTAGTAAAGTCATTTTTAGAAGTTCAGATTATTTGTAAAGTCATTTGTTCAGTTCAGATGATTGGTAAAGTCATTTGTTCAGCTGAAATGATTTGTAAAGTCATTTGTTCAGTTAAAATGATTTGTAAAGTCATTTGTTCAATTCAGATGATTTGTAAAGTCATTTGTTCAGTTCAAATGATTTGTAAAGTCGTTTGTTCAGTTCAGATGATTTGAAAAGTCATTTGTTCAGTTGCAATGATTTGTAAAGTCATTTGTTCAGTTCGGATGATTTGTAAAGTCGTTTGTTCAGTTGGAATGATTTGTAAAGTCATTTGTTCAGTTGAAATGATTTGTAATGTCATTTGTTCAGTTCAGATGGTTTGTAAAGTCATGTGTTCAGTTGGAATGATTTGTAAAGTCATTTGTTCAGTTAAAATGATTTGTAATGTCATTTGTTCAGTTGAAATGATTTGTAAAGTCATTTGTTCAGTTGGAATGATTTGTAAAGTCCTTTGTTCAGTTGGAATGATTTGTAAAGTCATTTGTTCAGTTGGAATGATTTGTAAAGTCATTTGTTCAGTTGGAATGATTTGTAAAGTCATTTGTTCAGTTGGAATGATTTGTAAAGTCATTTGTTCAGTTGGAATGATTTGTAAAGTCATTTGTTCAGTTGGAATGATTTGTAAAGTCATTTGTTCAGTTGGAATGATTTGTAAAGTCATTTGTTCAGTTGGAATGATTTGTAATGTCATTTGTTCAGTTGAAATGATTTGTAAAGTCATTTGTTCAGTTGGAATGATTTGTAAAGTCATTTGTTCAGTTGGGATGATTTGTAAAGTCATTTTTCCAGTTGAAATAATTTGTAAAGTCATTTGTTCAGTTCAGATGGTTTGTAAAGTCATTTGTTCAGTTTAAATGATTTGTAAAGTCATTTGTTCAGTTCAGATGATTTAAAAGTCATTTGTTCAGTTCAAATGATTTGAAAAGTCAATTGTTCAGTTCATATAATTTGAAAAGTCATGTGTGGAAGTTTGAAGTACAAAATTCAAAAACTCAAGACGATTAATTTAGCAAAATTTAAAGAATTACAGAAAAGTGAAATCTTCATACTCTTAAATACTTTTGTTTCTAAATACATACTTTTTTCTGTTGTTAATACAGAAAAGAATATTCTATGAACCTTTTTAATACAAAGCCAAACTCAGTATTAAGATTGGCACTGTATTGTGAAAGAAAGTCTTAATTGCTCTTAACCAATCAGAATTGACGACTTTTTCATGTTTAGTTTAGAGTCATTAAAGTGTCGACAAAATTTACAAATAATAAATTAACGGTCGTCTAGCGCATGTTAAAATTACGGGAGAAATTTGGCGATACTTGCGGTTTATTAAACGTACAACTTCCTACCTTCATTTCGCAAACTCGGCTACGACAATGTGATCTGATAGAGTCTATTACAGGCAGGAGTTCAGGAGTGGATATAATTTTGTTGTGATGTATTCTATCGTAACAAAATATGAAAAAAATGAAAAAGATCCAGCACTGTACATAGGTATCTCACAAATTGTATCATATATTCAGCAATACTTAGGGAATGGAATACGATGAAATTTTTAGGAAATGATTTAAAGAAACACGTATTGAAAATAATATTGATTGAAACCAAAAATAAATCAAGTCTTAATCTTACCGCAGCAGAAAGAACAGACATCGACAACTTAACTCTGTTTCCCAGCCATTCTAAACAATCACGTATATCTGGGATTAGCAAAATTTGAAAACGAAACCTGTACCATGTGAACTAAGGACACAGGAGTCAAAATACATTTCACTTTACCTTAATCCACTCAAGAAGAAGTTTCAGTACGTCAATGACATAGTCAAACGGTAACACAAGCAATGATTCTTCAAGTTCGCTGAAATTAAATAATTTAAATGTTTTGTAGAAAAACACTTGCTTCATAAGATACCTCTCTACTAAAGTAAATGGTTTGAACCCGGGAGTATCGCTACATATTTGTAAATGATTATCGTCCAGGTTAATAAAGTCCTGAGAAGGACTGTTTTTGTTGTTGTTGACTGACGTTTCGACAACCTTAGCGGTAGTCATCTTCAGAGTCAAATGAGGAGTAAATGTCAGGTTAGCCGTATTTGTTATCTGGTTCTTACGTCATTGTATTGTGTGTACAGGAAATGTGTATTGTCATTGTGAATTAGTGTGAAGTGAAATATTCTATTTTTAGTTGTGATGATGATGATTTAGATGTGATGTTTTTAGTTGTAATGTGTGGGTGTCAATTGTGTATTGTCATTGTGAATTAGTGTGAAGTGTAATGTTTTTACTTGATCGTTTGTTTGTATTGTGAATAAGTCGTTTGTAAGGTGCCGGTAATTGCTGTGATCTGTTCAGGGGTGGTTTGTTCCAAGTTGGTATACCAACTTACTAATGTAAGCCGTAATGTAATACCTCTCTACTGTATTCTAATAACACTAAATATTTAATTCCTTTAGTAACTCTAATGAGACACTTTGCCATACTTTACCTTTAAAATGCTCTAAATTAACTTTTAGTACAAACAACTTTTTTCACGGGATAATTTGCTGCTCTTTATAATACTTCAACCTTACCTTGACTTTACTTTTTTCACCACTAGAAGTACATACTGTACAGGCTGTGAAAAGAAAAAAATATTTTACAAACGTCGTTAGTATATGGTCCGGGAAAAGGAGGTTGACATAGACAGGCATTCAATCGTAGAACAACAATATTTATGGCCTCCATCTTCGTGCTCAAGATATTTTATTTCATTATTACAAATCTTGTGTATTTTCCATTTAACTCTCATTTTTTCTAGAGTTGTTATAAATGTAAAGCCATCTCATCTATTTTTTCCTTATCTACATACGTACGTATGTAAGTCTTATAATCTTACCATTTCATTAATATTTACATTAATCATGTTTAACATGCACGTGGCTTTCACCTTGTATCACGTGGCCTTCATATTGTTCTTAAATGGAAACATTGAAGATATAGTAAACTTACACTGACATTACCAAAGGCAGCAAGAATCGGATGAATGGCGCGCTTTGGAAGCTGTTCAAAGGAAAGAAAATGTATTTGAGAACAAAAAAACTTGTGTAAAAAACGAAACTGGATTTTCTGTATAAATCAGACAATAGTGAAGGGCGTGGTTCCAATTAGAGAGTGTGGAAATATTGGTGGTAGTTTCATGGGTACGTCAGTGCAGAGCATGGTCCCAATTAGACAGTATGAAAATAATGGTGGTTTCATTGGGAGAGTTTAATAACAGTGTAGGGCGTTGCCCCAATTAGAGAGTTAGAAAATATTATTGGTAGTTTCATGGGTAGGGTTAAATAACGATGCAGGGCGTGGTCCCAATTAGAGAGTAAGAAAATATTGGCGGTGGTTTCACAGGTAGGGTTGAATAACAGTGTAGGGCGTTGTCCCAATTAGGGTGTTTAGTCTAGGAAAGTTTAAGATTTAAGATTGTCTATACGTATAACATAAACATTTTGTAGATGGGCAGAGCAAGAAATAACAAACCTTTCATTTAAGATTTAAGATTGTCTATACGTATAACATAAACATTTTGTAGTTGTGCAGAGCGAGAAATAACAAACCTTTCAATTAAGATTTAAGATTGTCTATACGTATAACATTAACATTTTGTAGATGTGCAGAGCAAGAAATAACAAATCTTTCATTTAAGATTTAAGATTGTCTATACGTATAACATAAACATTTTGTAGATGTGCAGAGCAAGAAATAACAAACCTTTCATTTAAGATTTAGGATTGTCTATACGTATAACATAAACATTTTGTAGATGTGCAGAGCAAGAAATAACAAACCTTTCATTTAAGATTTGAGATTGTCTATACGTATAACATAAACATTTTTAGATGTGCAGAGCAAGAAATAACAAACCTTTCATTTAAGATTTAAGATTGTCTATACGTATAACATAAACATTTTGTAGATGTGCAGAACAAGAAATAACAAACCTACCGTTTTGTCTTTAGTCACTTGACTCGCTTTATGTTCAAGTTCTTTCTGTCTTTCTTCCTTATACAATTCAATGGCCTCCATGATTCTTTCAGCCTAATGAAGAGATAAGAGAACAAACATCAACATAGTAATCTCCACGCGTATATTATATATTATACTGTAATATCCTCCAAGTATCCCAATCATACTGTATTATCTTCCAAGTATCTATATTCTACTATAATATCCTCCAAGTATCCCAATCATACTGTATTATCTTCCAAGTATCTATATTCTACTATAATATCCTCCAAGTATCCTAATCATACTGTATTATCTTCCAAGTATCTATATTCTACTATAATATCCTCCAAGTATCCCAATCATACTGTATTATCTTCCAAGTATCTACATTCTACTATAATATCCTCCAAGTATCCCAATCATACTGTATTATCTTCCAAGTATCTATATTCTACTATAATATCCTTCAAGTATCCCAATCATACTGTATTATCTTCCAAGTATCTATATTCTACTATAATATCCTCCAAGTATCCCAATCATACTGTATTATCTTTCAAGTATATATATTCTACTATAATATCCTCCAAGTATCCTAATCATACTATATTATTTTTCCAAGTATCTATATTCTACTATAATATCCTTCAAGTACCCGGTCTCAATGTAAGCTTAAACACTTGGCCTCAGATATGCACAATCTTCACATGTTTTTGGTGTACTACAGTTTTCGATGTATCTGTGTGATTTTAAGGTATCTTTCAGGTACTACAGGGGAAACTGGGCACAAAACCAATAAAATTAACTTGCAATGCTAATACAACAACAGAACTAACTCCTTTGATCGTCTCGATAGTTTTCTTGCCAGCTTTAACAGCTTCTGTGTCTTGTTCACCTGGAATCTAAACATCATGGTTTAAATAAATGAATTTATTTAGTGCAATAAATGCAACTTCCACAAGATATTTTCCAAAGTGAAAGTATATAACAAATACAGAGTAGTTAGGCTCAAGATGGAACATACGTATCTCATGTTGCATAGTAAAAAGAATCTTACAATTGTTTCAACTCCTGTTAAGGCGCTTTCTTCGTAAGCAGCTTCCCTCTCCTAAATAGAAAAATTTAAATAAACATTGAAAGTACAGGTACTATATGCATATTTTTGTAGCTCCAGCAACAGATCTATGTAGAGTACCATTTCTCTCTCCTCTTCGACAAACAACGGTTCGTCCGTTCGTTCCCAGAGTCTCAACGATTTATAAAACACAACTATAAAACACAACATTCGCAATCAAGAAGACTACACGCATCTCAAAACAGAGCTGGCACACATCGCTCACTCGTACATCTCATCTTATCACCCGACACCAGCTGACTTCAAAAAACATCACATTCTTAAAAACATTCGCAACAATCCAAACATTATCATTCTCAAACCGGACAAAGGCAACGGCGTTGTAATCATGGATCGTCAAATGTACCGTAACTCCTGCCTTAAAATCATTAACAATACAGCAAAGTTTACCCCACTCAAAGAAGACGTCACACTACCACGTGAAGCCAAACTACAACGACTGTTAAGGAAACTTCTAAAGAAAGACTCTATTAACAACAAAGTTTATAATGATATCTTCCCCAGAGGTTCTCAGCCCTCACGCTTCTACGGTTTACCGAAACTTCACAAGAAACGAGAACCAGAACAATCGCCTCCACTACGACCGATAGTTTCATCAATCAACGCATACAATTATAATTTAGCTAAGTATCTTAGTTCTCTACTAACACCACTCATACCAGATGACCACTCCACTAAAGATTCTTTCACTTTCCTCGACGATTTCTCATCTTTCAACTCATCAACTTCTTGTCACAAATTCTTCATCTCCTACGACGTTGAAAGCCTATTTACTAACATACCACTTACTGAAACCATCAACCTAGCAATCGACTTAATATTCACTCACAACCCCACGTTCAGTATAAACAGGACCGACCTCACACAACTGTTTTTAATAGCAACAGCACAGACGCATTTTTTTATTTAATGGAAAATTTTATGACCAGACGGACGGTGTTGCGATGGGCTCTCCCTTAGCACCCATACTTGCTAACATTTTCATGGGCTCACATGAACGAAACTGGCTAAACAACTACAACGACACTAAACCACTATTTTACCGCAGATACGTTGACGATATTTTTTGTGTTTTTACTAACGAAACTGAGGCCATGAAGTTTTATAATTACATTAACACACAGCACGCAAACATTAGATTTTCTTTTGAAACTGAACAACAAGATCAACTGCCATTTCTTGACATTTTACTAACAAAATCTCACGACAGCTGTACAACATCTACATACCACAAACCAACGTACACAGGACTTCTGACGAACTATTTTAGTTTCACACCACTTTCATACAAAACCGGACTTATACGCACACTAATCGACAGAGCATACAAACTTAACAATACGAACAATGGCTTTCAACGAGACATAAAAAACATCACATCCACTCTCTTACGAAACTCTTTCCCACTTCACTTTATTAACAGAACCGTAAAACGATATCTCGACAACAAACATAGCAAAAACCTCAACCTAGACACCGAAACTCCTGACACGACGATCACAACCAACACAAATGAAAATTCCAAAATAACAACTCTATACTTCAAACTACCATACATCGGACATTACTCACGACACACACAACGCAGACTTACAAACATTATGAAACGCTTCTGTACAGATATTGACATTCGACTAATTTTCACATCATTCAAAATCAAAAACCTTTTTTCATTTAAAGACCCGATCCCTGATTCAATTAAATCTATGGTGGTATATGAATTCAATTGCGCGGGATGTAATTCCCGATACATTGGCGAAACTTCGCGCCATTTATCCACCAGAATCAGGGAACATACCACAACAGACAAAAACTCTCACATCTACCGACACCTTCTCAAATCTCACTCATGCAAAACCAACTATTCACCCTCTTGTTTCAAAATCATCGACACTGCCGACACCTCATTCACCCTTAAAATCAAAGAAGCACTGCACATTAACAAAACTAACCCTGACCTCAATGTTCAAGTTTTTAAATTCAATACGATATTTAGTTTATAATACGCTCGGACGCTCCTCATTATATTATCTTATTTCCTTTTTATTGTTGTAATTTATGCATCATATTACTTTTATATAAACCCTGTATCACCTATTATTTCATTCATACTGAAGATGGCATCATGAGATGTCGAAACATGTCTATTTTCAAAAAAGTTGTCGTGTATATTAAATGTGTATTGTCAACGATTTATCATGTGACCCACTGATCTATAAAATAATATACAATGCATGTGGAACTGGAGTGTTAAGAATAAGAGTTGATCTTTGAGTAAATGGTACTCTTATTGATAATAACGTTTTTCGTTCATTCTTTCATTCATATCAAGCAAACTTATGTTTAACATTATCTAAAACCTTCCATATTTGACACTTTCATTCATATAAAGCAAACTTATGTTTAACATTATCTAAAACCTTCCATACTTGACACTTACAAAAAACTCGACATTATCTAAAACCTTCCATACTTGACACTTACAACAAACTCGCCGTCACGGCTGATTGCAAGACTCCATATTTCTGAATGATGCCCTTCTAAGGTCGTAACATGAAGAAATCTGTCAGCGTCCCAATATTTTATCGTTTTATCTTTACTTGCACTGAAGAAATAATGAGTTTTTGGCACGAACTGCACGGCCATGACACTAAAAGAAGATTAAAGCTGTTATAATATAAATATCGAATATACATGTAGGTATTACTAGGTGTAATGTTGATAACATGAGAGTATACGGTATACAATGAAAGTACATGTAGGTATTACTAGGTGTAATGTTGATAACATTAGAATATAAGGTACACAACGAAAGTACATGTAGGTATTACTAGGTGTAATGTTGATAACATGAGAATATAAGGTACAAAATGAAAGTACATGTAGGTATTACTAGGTATACTGTTGATAACATGAGAATATAAGGTATACAATGAAAGTACATGTAGGTATTACTAGGTATAATGTCTATAACATGAAAATATACAGTATACAATGAAAGTACATGTAGGTATTACTAGGTGTAATGTTGATACCATGAGAATATAAGGTATAAAATGAAAGTACATGTAGGTATTGTGGGGTGTAATGTTGATAACATGCGGGTAAAAAATATGCAGGAAATCTACGTATAAAACAATTGAGGACGTGGTTTACTAGTATGTTAGACGTACGAGGTATGGTGATGACGAAACAATGGTGTAACCAAGGTAAGAGGGTTTAATAGGGTATAATGACAATGTACATAGGATACAATGTACATAGGAGTGTATAGTAGGGATATAATCAACTGTTTCAGGCTATCACATATTACTATCATAAAATTGCGTATCTGTTATTTAAAATTACATTGTACGTTTCTGTCATCATGGGCGAATATTGATTTGCGACAATCACCAAAATCCAAACCCCAAATCTTAATGTTCTTGTCAACGCCACCAGAAACGAGGAGAACGTTATCCTGTAAAAAATGAATCAAGGATGACAAAAATCCAAAGACAGAAAAGTTTCAAAATACGACGCCATTGAAAAGCGTTCAATAATGCAAAGTGGTCAAGTGATGGAACGAAACACGCTCTACACTTTCACAACAGAGGATTGGTAAAAATTTACACGGTCATACGTAATTGACATTATGTACGTCTTTTTTAAAGTTTGAAAATAATCTAGATTCTTTTGAACTGTCGCATAAATTATTAATGCATTATTTAAAATTGATTCACTTTGTAATTTTATTTCGAAAATATCTAATTCGAAAAGCTATAGCGAAATGACTTATTTACAGCTTGATAATGTATCTTTTGTGTATACGTATTTTTCTTCTATTTTATGTGGTAAAGTTCTTTCAACCAAAAATAAAAAACGTATTATAAAACATGATATCAAAACAGAATTGGAAGCCGTTCCTGTGAGCTTGAAAAAACAGTATAATTCATAAGACAGCTAAAACGGATGTGACGTATACAAAATGTATGCGTCCATGACGTAGGCTAAGGATTCTTCTTGTAATCACAATACACGTTTGCATACGACAGTCAAACGTGGATACTTTGAAACACACGTCATATGAATAAAACGTACCGTTGATATATCCATGGTAACAACATGTAATTTATGACCATAGAGGGATAGGAAGAACTAAATAACGACGCGGGAAAAGGAACCACATTTAAAGAATGAATACAAAAGTAATTAGGATAAATGGACAGGAAAATGCTTATTCAGTTAAATTTTTGAGACTTCTGTAAGTCAAATTATAACGTTGATGGAAAGCATACATTAATCCAATGTTACGTAACTAGCTTATAGTCAAAAATATCGCCTTCTTTTTACAAAAGTGGATTTTTTTAGTGAATTTTTTTGTAGGAAAAGGAAACAGTTCTAACTCAAAGTGCATTTTTATCGTGATTCATAGAAAAACAAATGGGAGAATTTCGTACAAGGAGTCATCTTTAAAGTGATATACAGCAACAAATGAAAATATTCTAACAACTGCTATCCAACAACAACTGCTATCCAATACCATCAACTGCTATCAAATACTATCAAATGCTATCCAATACCATCAACTGCTATCCAATACCATCAACTACGTACAAAAATATTAAACAACTTACCTTCAATGTATCAGTTAAGAAAATTTTCATTGTAAAATCAAGCAAAGCCACGGCAATAAACTTTTGATTTGGGCTGCAAAGAAGGTTGGCACGTGATTAAATGAAAGATCATAAATACGTATACCCCCAGGTGAATATATCAACAACTAACCTGAACTTTACACACATTACGTCATCATTTATCTTTAATGTTCGTGCATGACAAATACTTAATCTTTGACTAAACAAAATAATACAAAATGAATCACCCAATTGTACAACGAAATTCATAATCCAATTAGACAATATTGAATCATACAACTAGAAAATGTTAAGCTGAGTTTGAACAAACAAAAAGCGGATGGTCACATTTAACCACTTTTCTTTACAAACATCATGAAATGCACAAGAAAAACAAGAGAAAAACTTTAGAACACAAGCTTCAACAGAATTAGTACATGAAGTTGTTTTTTCTCCGACAGACAATGGACATTTTTCGTCTTACAATGCTAAAAAAGTGAGAAAAATCATGTTGAGTGCAAACGTTGCTTTACATGCAAATTATTTAACACCTGGTCGTTGAATAGTTCTTATCCGTAATCAAATCAAATTCCCAAAATTTTACATCTTTGTCACCACTTCCTGAGGCGAATAGCGTCTAGAAATTGATAAAATCATCATTTCTAGATGAACGTAGTCTTAGCTCCCTCTGAACGATTCACTGAAAGAATATATGAGGACGGGGGGGAGGAGAGAAGTGAAGCATACTTCACTTGTCTCTTCGAGGAGTTACAAAATCACAAGCAGCAGAATAACTTAAGTTAGCCAACAAAAAGATCGCTTCTATTTCTGTTAGAGAAATAATCGAAAGAAAGCATATTAAGAAGGGCATGGCCGTCCACAAATTTTGTCAAAAATGTTACTTTCCAACGACTGGACCAAAAATATGTTTTTAAAATAAAGTAAAGGTCCTTACATTATCGGGAGCTAAACACAACGACCAAATAGCACCATCGTGTGCGTCCACAGTTTCAAGCAATGAACCAGACGAAACGTAAATATTTGGAGTTTGCCAGCCTGTAAAGGAAATTTAGAGGGTCAACATCTTACATTGGCTCAATACTTTATAAAGTCATCTTCGCTATTGTTGTATACCTTAGTTCAAACAATGACGTGTCTGTCACATGACCTTACACTGGCTCACTACTTTATAAAGTCACATTCACTAATGCTAAATACCTTAGTTCAAACAACAACGTGTTTGTCACATGACCTTACACTGTCTCACTACTTTATAAAGTCATATTCACTAATCCTGAATACCTTAGTACCAACAACGTGTCTGTCACATGACCTTACATTGTCTCACTACTTTATAAAGTCATATTCACTAATCCTGAATACCTCAGTACCAACAACAACGTGTCTGTCACATGACCTTACATTGTCTCACCACTTTATAAAGTCATATTCACTAATGCTGAATACCTTAACACCAACAACAACGTGTCTGTCACATGACCTTACATTGTCTCACTACTTTATAAAATCATATTCACTAATGCTGAATACCTTAGTACCAACAACAACGTGTCTGTCACCAGGTACAAAAAGCGAACTTAGACAATAACCAGAAGACATTGTTCTGATGCATTTCTGAGTCGATCTATAAATTTGTTGGAAATATCATCACAGGTTGACATAGACAGTCACTCTTTCGACCGACAAACAATGATAGAGTAGAGTACGTAAGTCTGTTACAGTAATTTTACATCTTTCAGGATAATTCCTTGATTAATGGTTTTTTAAGAAAATTTTAATTTTTCACTCCCCATTAGAAAGTACTCGAACCTTATTCCCCTAACAGAAACAATGATTATCCTGTTGGTACAACTTGATAAAACTTTAAAAAATATGCATCATTGTATGTTTTAGTTAAAGAAATTACAAGCAAATACACATACACAACTTTAAAAATCTGTTTATTGTACCTGTTCCACAATTTAACACTTTCAGCTGCGCCAGAGAGGATGCAGGAATCATCAGAATTGAATGACAAAGTCCTAAAGTAACAAAGCTAGCTAAAAATCAACTAAATCAAGGGTGAAGTTCATAAAATAAAATATGCGCCATCCATTTTATTCAAGACTTCATGCTAAAGTGAAAAATACTACAAAATGCGGGTGAAGCCAAAATAACAACAACACAACAAAATTAATCATTTTCTCACATGCAATTATTTCTAACCATTGAATCGCTATGTAAAATAAATATACAAATATTTGCTCTTAGGGGTCAATCAGATGAAGTAAGCTGTTATAGTATGACGCTTCAAAAGGCACATGAGATTTAAGACTTTAACTTATTGTCTTCATATTCCAGATTTATTGAGATCTACGTAGCCACATACCTTACATCACTACGATGACCAGGTGTCTTTATGGAAAGTATATTAGTTGAATCTTTCTTTTCTTCATTGAAGACATGAAACTCTACGCTGTTGTTGTGTAGTAATAATGAAATCTGTAGAAATTTAAAATACTTCTTATTTCAAGTGGATGCAACTAATTCCATAGTATCCAGTATACTACGCATTCTTTACATGTACAATCAAATAAGATGATAAAAAATGACGAAAGGCTCTTTCTCATCGTCCAAAATGACTATTCAACAACACTTGGAAATATACAGAAACATCAATTTAACACATCCATACTTCTCAAATATAAAAAAAAATCGCGGACAAAAATAATGAGATACCTTTAGATCATTATTTGAATTCAATGCAAAGTCAAATGACCTAACAAGAATAAAAAAATTGTTTGTATTTTACAATGGCGGAAAAAGCAAAACAAGTGAATGAAAGACGTACGTACATATGGACGAGGAGGACTAGAAACGACTTTTCAATCATAAATATTGTTTAAAAATAACTGTTTTATTCAGCCATTTTGAACAAGCAATTTTTAAAATTCACATTGTAAAACTGCTTAAAAATATTGCGTGTATGAAAGTATTAGAAACCAACATTGATTAATTATATTTAAGAAAAAACATCCGTTGAGAAAAGCACGTCAAGAAAAATTCTCTCTCACACAAAACGCTTGACTTCCACAAGCGAATTACAATGTTTGTACTCCATACATCATTTTACCGTATCTTTGAGGTCGCTTTAACATCGGGTAATTTTAAAACAAATAAGACAAATAGTGCGCAAATACACAATTAAAATGTTGGAACAACGCATATCAAGCAATTGGACCTGACCATGTCAATAGTGCGACAACGTACTGCAATCTGGGTTCGGTTTACGATTATATGGGAGAGTACAAAAAAGCAAAAGATTTTTACGAACGAGCGATGAAAATTCAAACAAAAGTTATTGGACCTGACCATGTTAATATTGCATCAACGTACAATAATCTGGGTTTGGTTTACAAAAATATGGGAGAATACGAAAAAGCAAAAGATTTTTACGAACGAGCAATGGAAATTAAAACGAAAGCATTTGGACCTGACCATGTTAATATTGGGACAACGTACCAAAATCTAGGTTCTATTTACAGTTATATGGGAGAGTACAAAGAAGCAAAAGATTTTTATAAACGAACGATGGAAATTGAAACGAAAGCATTTGGACCTGACCATGTTAATATTGCGACAACGTATTGCAATGTGGGTTCGGTTTACGATTATATGGGAGAGTACGAAAAGCAAAAGATTTTACGAACGAGCAATGGAAATTCAAACAAAAGCATTTGGACCTGACCATGTTAATATTGCGACAACGTACTGTAATCTGGGTTTGGTTTACAAAAAGATGGGAGAATACGAAAAAGCAAAAGATTTTTATGAACAAACGATGGAAATTGAAACGAAAGCATTTGGACCTGACCATGTCAATATTGCGACAACGTATTGCAATCTGGGTTCGGTTTACGATGATATGGGAGAGTACGAAAAAGCAAAAGATTTTTACGAACGAGCAATGGAAATTCAAACAAAAGCATTTGGACCTGACCATGTTAATACTGCGACAACGTATTGCAATCTGGGTTCGGTTTACAAAGATATGGGAGAGTACGAAAAAGCAAAAGATTTTTACGAACGAGCAATGGAGATTAAAACAAAAGCATTTGGACCTGACCATGTCAATATTGCGACAACGTACTGCAATCTGGGTTCGGTTTACGATGACATGGGAGAATACGAAAAAGCAAAAGATTTTTACGAACGAGCAATGGAAATTAAAACGAAAGCATTTGGACCTGACCATGTTAATATTGGGACAACGTACCAAAATCTAGGTTCTATTTACAGTTATATGGGAGAGTACAAAGAAGCAAAAGATTTTTATAAACGAACGATGGAAATTGAAACGAAAGCATTTGGACCTGACCATGTTAATATTGCGACAACGTATTGCAATGTGGGTTCGGTTTACGATTATATGGGAGAGTACGAAAAAGCAAAAGATTTTTACGAACGAGCAATGGAAATTCAAACAAAAGCATTTGGACCTGACCATGTTAATATTGCGACAACGTACTGTAATCTGGGTTTGGTTTACAAAAAGATGGGAGAATACGAAAAAGCAAAAGATTTTTATGAACAAACGATGGAAATTGAAACGAAAGCATTTGGACCTGACCATGTCAATATTGCGACAACGTATTGCAATCTGGGTTCGGTTTACGATGATATGGGAGAGTACGAAAAAGCAAAAGATTTTTACGAACGAGCAATGGAAATTCAAACAAAAGCATTTGGACCTGACCATGTTAATACTGCGACAACGTATTGCAATCTGGGTTCGGTTTACAAAGATATGGGAGAGTACGAAAAAGCAAAAGATTTTTACGAACGAGCAATGGAAATTAAAACAAAAGCATTTGGACCTGACCATGTTAATATTGCGACAACGTACTGCAATATGGGTTCGGTTTACGATGATATGGGAGAGTACAAAAAAGCAAAAGATTTTTACGAACGAGCAATGGAAATTAAAACAAAAGCATTTGGACCTGACCATGTCAATATTGCGGCAACGTACTGCAATCTGGGTTCGGTTTACAATGATATGGAAGAGTACAAAAAAGCAAAAGATTTTTACAAACGAGCAATGGAAATTCAAACAAAAGCATTTGGACCTGACCATGTTAATATTGCGACAACGTACTGTAATCTGGGTTTGGTTTACAAAAAGATGGGAGAGTACGAAAAAGCAAAAGATTTCTACGAACGAGCAATGGAAATTGAAACAAAAGCATTTGGACCTGACCATGTTATTATTGCGACAACGTACTGCAATCTGGGTTCGGTTTACGATGATATGGGAGAGTACGAAAAAGCAAAAGATTTTTACGAAAGAGCAATGGAAATTGAAACAAAAGCAATTGGACCTGACCATGTCAATAGTGCGACAACGTACTGCAATCTGGGTTCGGTTTACGATTATATGGGAGAGTACAAAAAAGCAAAAGATTTTTACGAACGAGCAATGGAAATTCAAACAAAAGCATTTGGACCTGACCATGTTAATATTGCGAAAACGTACTGTAATCTGGGTTTGGTTTACAAAAAGATGGGAGAGTACGAAAAAGCAAAAGATTTCTACGAACGAGCAAAGGAAATTGAAACAAAAGCATTTCGACCTGACCAAGTTATCATTGCGACAACGTACTGCAATCTGGCTTCGGTTTACAAAGATATGGGAGAGTACGAAAAAGCAAAAGATTTTTACGAACGAGCAATGGAAATTGAAACAAAAGCATTTGGACGTGACCATGTTAATATTGCGACAACGTACTGCAATCTGGGTTCGGTTTACGAAGATATGGGAGAGTACGAGAAAGCCAAACATTTTTGCATAGGAGCGATGGAAATTCAAACGAAAGCATTTGGACCTGACCATGTTAATATTGCGACAACGTACAACAATCTGGGTTTGGTTTACAAAAAGATGGGAGAGTACGAAAAAGCAAAAGATTTCTACGAACGAGCAATGGAAATTGAAACAAAAGCATTTGGACCTGACCATGTTAATATTGCAACAACGTACTGCAATCTGGGTTCGGTTTACAAAGTTATGGGAGAGTACGAAAAAGCAAAAGATTTTTACGAACGAACAATGGAAATTGAAACAAAAGCATTTGGACGTGACCATGTTAATACTGCGACAACGTACTGCAACTTGGGTTTGGTTTACAAAGGTATGGGAGAGTACGAAAAAGCAAAAGATATTTACGAACAAGCGATGGAAATTCAAACGAAAGCATTTGGACCTGACCACGTTAATATCGCGACAACGTACAATAATCTGGGTTTTGTTTACAGTAAAATAGGAGAGCACAAAAAAGCAAAACATTTTTGCATACAAGCCATGGAAATTCAAACGAAAGCATTTGGACCTGACCATGTAAATATTGCGACAACGTACAACAATCTTGGTTTGGTTTACTGTGATATGGGAGAGTACGAAAAAGGAAAAGATTGTTATGAACGAGCGATGGAAATTCAAACGAAAGCATTTGGACCTGACCATGTTAATATTGCGACAACGTACAACAATCTGGGTTTGGTTTACAATAAGATAGGAGAACACAAAAAAGCAAAAATTTTTTGCATACAAGCGATGGAAATCTACACTAAAGCATTTGGACCTGACCATGTTAATAGCGCGACAACGTACAACTATCTGGGTTTTGTTTACAATATGGGAGAGTACGAAAAAGCAAAAGATTGTTATGAACGAGCAATACAATTTTAAGCAAAAGTCCCGATATGTTAATACTGGAATAATGTACGACAATGTTCATTTGGTAATAAACCATCTATAGAAATTGACACTGAGCTACTAGTTGCTAAAAAAGCTTCCGTGTTTGAGAAAATTTACAACGAGATAGAAGAAAGAAGAAATGGATTTGTGGTTCCGTGAATTAAGGAAAAAATTTACACAAAAGTCCAAACAACAACAGTTGTATATAAAAAAGTTTAAATATATTCTTAACAATATTCAATACAAACATTTGTATCTTCAAGTTTTCAATAGTCATTTATTTACTGGAACAGATTTTTCTGTTAGCTAAGAAACTTGTATGGAACTTTTACAGTGTATACGAGATTAGTACGTTTGCAATCTATCTAGTCTGAAGTTGTAAATCTCCTTAAAATGAGGGGAGTGTTTGTTGGGTCATTTTCATGAGAGTAAATCCATATCTTAGAGGAACCATGACAATTTTTCATCCCTTTTGTTGAATGCTGAAATAACCAGAAGACTACTTTGCCATATGAGGATAAAGTTTTTTCTGTATTCATTTTGGTAACTCATAAAATATATTTTTTGTTTATAAGTATTGTAGATGGGTGAATTGGTTGGTAATTGTTAATCGATTCATTATTCCTTCCTGTTTATAGTTGGAATTACTCCCTTAATTTTTGTGACACTCTTCTTTTTAATAACTGAGAAATATGCAATTTACGTAATGTAATAATTTATTTTAATTCTATATTTTCATTTGATGGAGGTATTCACCGATAGTTATGATGTTGAATTTGATGATCTCACTTTCATTTATATTTAACTTTTCTGAAATCAGTTTGCAGTAAGATTATTTATGTAGCTGGGAGCTAAAATTAGAGGCGCGAAAAATGTGTTTCAATGTCATAGAAGTAAAAGACTCATTTGATTGTCCATGTATGGCTAGCCCAATATTTAGTTATAAAAATACCAAGAACGAAATTCCTTTCTATAGCTTTTAAGCCTGATCCAGTATCAATAACTGCTGAATCTTGCAAAATTTAAACGTCTGCTGATCACGAAAATTGTAATTTAAAGGGCACAAGGGGTTTTACGTGTCCTCTAGGGTTACAGTTTGAGTTAGAGATCTTCGAGGATGGCTATAGACAGAAATCAACCGCAGCCATTGTGTATTTTGGAAGACAATCGTTTTAGTTGTCGGAGTATCAAAAACAAAATAACCTTCATCGAAATTTCCTCACAATCGTCTTCTTCTTTTTTCGTATTTGTCCCAGTCTCTCGCGAGTTTCTCCAAAGAATGTGACGTCACGATTCTCAAGCTGTCTTTGAATAAACTGTAGTCCCGCCAAATTGAATCCAACAGTATCCTAAAGATAAAGCAATCATTACATGTGTGCAATAGTTTTATCGAAGTCGATGTAAATATTCAAGAAAATTTGTTCAGTTCATATAATTTGTAAAATCATTTGTTTACTTCAAATGATTTGAAAAGTCATTTCTTCAGTTCGTATGATTTAAAAAGTCATCTGTGAAAGTTTGAAGAACAAAATTCAAAAACTCAAGTCGATTAATTTAGCAAAATTTAATGAACTAGAGAAAAATGAAATCTTCTTACTCTTCATTATTTTTGTTTCTAAATACATACTTTTTTCTGTTGTTAATACATAAAAGTATATTCTATGAACCTTTTTAATACAAAGCCAAATTCCGTATTAAAATTGGCACTGTGTTGTGAAAGAAAGCCTTAATTGCTCTTAACAATTCAGAATTGACGACTTTTTCATGTTTAGTTTACAGTCATTAAAGTGTCGACAATATTTACCACGAATAAATAAACGGTCGTGTAGCGCATTTTAAAATTACAAGAGAAATTTGGCGATACTTGCGGTTTATTGAACGTACAACTTCCTACCTTCATTTCGCGAACTCGGCTACGACAATGTGATCTGATAGAGTCTATTACTGGCAGTAGTTCAGGAGTGGATATGATCTTGTTGTGATGTATTCTATCGTAACAAAATATGAAAAAAATGAAAAATATCCAGCACTGTACATAGGTATTTCACCAATTGTATCAAATATTAAGAAATACTGATGGAACGTGATGAAATTCTTAGGGAATGATTTAAAGACAGACGTATTGAAAAAAATATCGACCGAAACCAAAAACAAAATTACGTCTTAATCTTACCGCAGCAGAAAGAACAGACATCGACAACTTAACTCTGTTTCCAAACCTTTCTAAACAATCACGTACATCTGGGATTAGCAAAATTTGAAAACGAAACCTATACCATGTGAACTAATGACACAGGAGTCAAAATACATTTCACTTTACCTTAATCCACTCAAGAAGAAGTTTCAGTACATCAATAACATAGTCAAACGGTAACACAAGCAATGATTCTTCAAGTTCGCTGAAATTAAATAATTTAGATGATTTGTAGAAAACACTTGCTTCATAAGATACCTCTCTACTGTATTCTAATAACATTTAAAATTTAATTCCTTTAGTAACACCAACGAGACACTTTGCCATACTTTACCTTTAAAATACTCTGAATTAACTTTTAGTACAAACAACGATTCTTCACGGGATAATTTGCTGCTATTTATAATACTTCAACCTTACCTTGACTTTACTTTTTTCACCACTAGAAGTACATACTGTACAGGCTGTGAGAAGAAAAAATATTTTACAAACGTCGTATGTATATGGGCCGGGAAAAGGAGGTTGACAGAGACAGGCATTCAATCGTAGAACAACAATATTTATGGCCTCCATCTTCGTCCTCAAGATATTTTATTTCATTATTACAAATCCTGTGTATTTTACATTTAACTTTCATTTTTTCTAGAGTTGTTATAAATGTAAAGCCATCTCATCTATTTTTTCCTTATCTACGTACGTACGTAGGTAAGTCTTGTAATCTTACCATTACATTAATATTTACATTAATCATGTTCAACATGCACGTGGCTTTCACCTTGTACCACGTGGCCTTCATGTTGTTCTTAAATGCAAACATTGAAGATATAGTAAACTTACACTGACATTACCAAAGGCAGGAAGAATCGGATGAATGACGCGCTTTGGAAGCTGTTCAAAGGAAAGAAAATGTATGTGTGAACAAAAAGAACTTGTGTAATAAACGAAATTGGGATTTTCTGAATAAATCAGACAATAGTGAAGGGTGAAGGGCGTGGTTCCAATTAGAGAGTGTGGAATTATTGGTGGTAGTTTCATGGGTAGGTCAGTGCAGAGCGTGGTCCCAATTAGACAGTATGAAAATGATGTTGGTTTTATTGGTAGAGTTTAATAACAGTGTAGGGCGTTGTCCCAATTAGAGAGTAAGAAAATATTATTGGTGGTTTCATGTATAGGGTTAAATGACGATGCAGGGCGTGGTCCCAATTAAACAGTATGAAAATATTGGCTGTGGTTTCACAGGTAGGGTTTAGTAACAGTGTAGGGCATTGCCCCAATTAGAGAGTAAGAAAATGTTATTGGTGGTTTCACGGGTAGGGTTAAATAACGATGCAGGGCGTGGTCCAAATTAGAGAGTAAGAAAATATTGGCGGTGGTTTCTCAGGTAGGGTTTAATAACAGTATAGGGCATTGCCCCAATTAGAGAGTAAGAAAATATTATTGGTGGTTTCATGGGTAGGGTTAAATAACGATGCAGGGCGTGGTCCAAATTAGAGAATAAGAAAATGTTGGTGGTGGTTTCACAGGTAGGGTTTAATAACAGTGTAGGGCGTTGTCCCAATTAAAGTGTTTAGTCTAGGAAAGTTTTGTAATGTTGCCGGTCATCGTTATTTAAGATTGCTCATTTAAGATTTAAGATTGTCTATACGTATAACATAAACATTTTGTAGATGCGCAGAGCAAGAAATAACAAACCTTTCATTTAAGATTTAAGATTGTCTATACGTATAACATAAACATTTTGTAGATGTGCAGAGCAAGAAACAACAAACCTTTCATTTAAGATTTAAGATTGTCCATACGTACAACATAAACATTTTGTAGATGTTCAGGGCAAGAAATAACAAACCTTTCATTTAAGATTGTCTATACGTATAACATAAACATTTTGTAGATGTGCAGAGCAAGAAATAACAAACCTTTCATTTAAGATTTAATATTGTCTATACGTATAACATAAACATTTTGTAGATGTGCAGAGCAAGAAATAACAAACCTTTCATTTAAGATTTAAGATTGTCTATACGTATAACATAAACATTTTGTAGATGTGCAGAGCAAGAAACAACAAACCTTTCATTTAAGATTTAAGATTGTCCATACGTACAACATAAACATTTTGTAGACGTTCAGGGCAAGAAATAACAAACCTTTCATTTAAGATTGTCTATACGTATAACATAAACATTTTGTAGATGTGCAGAGCAAGAAATAACAAACCTTTCATTTAAGATTTAATATTGTCTATACGTATAACATAAACATTTTGTAGATGTGCAGAGCAAGAAACAACAAACCTTTCATTTAAGATTTAAGATTGTCTATACGTATAACATAAACATTTTGTAAATGTTCAGGGCAAGAAATAACAAACCTTTCATTTAAGATTGTCTATACGTATAACATAAACATTTTGTAGATGTGCAGAGCAAGAAATAACAAACCT